TGCTCCCCCAACTCAGTATGTGGGGCCAGTTTTCGGGCCTGTGTTATGGGGACGGTGAGGTTGCCGCTCATTTCTTCAGTCGCTGCAGCGTATGCTGGCTCGCCATGATAGACACGAATGGTCCGAGAGACTCCAGGTTGCAAAGGGCGAATACATATTCGAGGAGAATAGACTCGTTTCACGACCCGCAGGTTCAGTGCTTTCGCCACCTGCTGAGTTGTCTCATGCTTCCAGGCCAGGAAGTCCTCTCCGGTGGCACCACTGCGATCGTCACCTAGACCAAGGGGACTCAGCCTTGTAGCGCCCATCTTCACCAGCACGCTGTCAACATCTATAGCGTACTTGTTGAAGTGACTATAGTTGGAGTTGCCAAGGCCGAACATGACATAGCGAATATTCATGAGGTTGCGCCCTTGCTCACACAGAAGGCGAAGGGCGTCAAGAAGAGCGACGCCGTTATCGGGCGGATCCCCATCGCCGAATGTGGACAAGATGAACACCAACAGTGCCTGGGACGGAACGTCTGGCATGTGTGAGTGATCGTAGTCGGCCAGGTTCGCAATAACCGTCCTTAGGGACAAGACTGTCGAAAGCTCAGAGGCATAGCGAGACGCTAGAACTTCTGCGGTGCCGCTTTGCGACGCCCAGAAGACAACCGCCTCTACGCCCTGCAAGTCGTGTGAGCCACGTTACTTGTTCTTGTACATGAACGCATTAAAAAGGGTTCAAAAATATTAGACTCACCGCCGGCGACTTGATAGCATCGCAAATGTTTCTGCTTCGCCGTTGTGAATTCGCAGGGATGCCGGCTGGGTGCATCTTTTCCTGGGGAATGCTGAACAGCTCTTTAAGACGTGACTTCTCATGTTTTGGAGTGCTAATTGGACTTTGTGTAACAAAATAGAGTAAGACCACGGCAGCCAACGATAGCAATATGGTATCCTCGCTGCCGATGGCGAGTAAGCGGGAGGTTATCATTGCATTCATTTTCGCGATGAACGACAGACAAAATTGCGATGAATTCAAGTCAGATCGCAAATAGCTCCGCCGTATTTATCAAAGTTCTTGCACGATAGTTGTTCCCATGTCCCTCTGGCGATGTCGTGGAGCTCGCTTATGGTTCTCATGGAGGTCAGATTTGATTGGTCTTCGACGACTTTGCGGGATTGGTTTAGGAAGAGGAAACCTCCCCAAATA